AGTAGCCGGAATTACAGGCATGCGCTACCACGCCCGGCTGATTTTTTTTTATTTATTGTAGAGATGAGGTCTTGCTGCCCAGGCGGGTCTCGAACCCGCAGGTTCAGACAATCCTTTCACCTCAGCCTCCCAAAGGCGCGGGATTACAGGCTGAGCCACTGAGCCCGGCTAAAGTATTTCTTTTTAAAGGGAAACATTCCTACTTCAGGAAAGTAGGAGCTGTTAAAGATTCTTATTTGCAAGTGCATAATTGAGAGAGTGAAGAGTGAAGTTCCTGAAAAGAAAGGTGCTTCAGAACACAGCAATTGTTTAGTTGTAGGAACAGTCAGAAATACATTTCCCATGGTTGTAACAGGACTAATGGAAGAAATGAATATAGATTTTGGCAAGTTTGTAAGATTTGGGTGACAGGAAGTTGAAGGTGTTCTTGTGGGATGTCTTAAATTTTCTCTGAACTAGAAGATGAGGTTATCTTCTGAGAGTGAGACTAGAGATGGTGGTTGGAGATTAGAGAAATTCTGAAATAGATAAAGGGCTAGGATGTAGCATTGAGATGCAGTTAGAGGTCATATCTTTAAAGTGTATCTGCACAGTTTTGGATTTTTTCTCTAACTCCATTCTGCAGCAATAGTTCACCAAGGGAGCATATGAACAGTCGCACCCACAGAGATTTGTGGAGATAGAACAAGGGGCAAGGGAATTGAGGATATTAGCACAATAATGATTTCAGTGATGAACCCTGCAGTCTAAGCTGGAAAAGAAAGATGGGAAGATACAAGAGCACTGATTCACAGGCAGAAAGCAGAGGTAGTACACGAGCAGTCCCTAGAGAGTTGACTGGCTCACTGAGAGAGTGGACTTAAAAAGAAGAGCAGAGAGCCGGGCTCGGTGGCTCAGCCTGTAATCCCACGCCTTGGGAGGCTGAGGTGAGTGGATTGCCTGAGCCGGCAGGTTCGAGACCCGCCTGGGCAAATTGGCGAGACCTCATCTCTACAATAAATCAAAAAAACAGCCGGGCATGGCAGCGCGTTCCTGTGATTCCGGCTACTCGGAAGGCTGAGACGGAAGGATCGCTGGAGCCCAGCAGGTCGAGGTTGCGGTGGCCAGAAGCGGCCACTGCACTCCAGTCTGGGTGACAGAATGAGACTCCAACTCAAAAACAAACAAACAAACAAAAACAAAAAAAAAAGAAGAGCAGAGAACTGGAAAAGGACTTCAGAGGAGATCTACATTTGGAATCTACCCCCCACTCCCCCAAAACAAAATAAACTGGAGAAAAATAGAGGCAGGGAAAGGGAAGCATAAAATCGAACTCACAGAGTTATCACAAAAGTTACCAGAATAGTTTCCATCACATGAGTCCCTTGTTTAAGAAGTGAATATATTTCTTTCTTTTTTTTAATCAATAAGTTTTATTATCATTCACGTATTTTATATAATAATAAATGTAGCAAAAGTTTCAGGGTTTGTTAAAAAACAACAACAAAAAAACACCAGCTTTGTACACACTGCTCCATCTGCGTTTGGAATCAGAGTTCCCAGATATCAGGCGCAGCAGCTGCACTTGTCCGATGCTTCTTTGCAGACACAGCCCCGGGCACACTTGGTACAGTTCACAGGGCAGCGGGAGCAGCAGCTGTTCTTGCAGGACCGGCATCTGCACTCTTTTGCCCTTGCAGGAGCCAGCACAGGCGCAGGAGCCATCAGCGGAACAGGAGCAGTTGGGGTCCATGTCGAGCCCCAGCGTGGCTGCAGTTCCAGGCGAGAGGGAAGAGTCCGTGAATATATTTCTTTATTGTTTATTATAGAAGAATGAAGCGCAAGGCTTGGCTATGCAGTGTCCACTCGACAACTATCTGCTAAGTAATGAGTGAATTAATAGTAAATACAAATTTCACATTTAAACTTAGAAAAATCCTCTACCTGTCTTTCTAGCTCTGTTTTCCTCAGAGCCTATAAATAGTTGAGTAATTACTCCAGAAAGCATGTAATTGTAATTGGTGTTGGTGTCAGACAATATTTGGTTTAAATCCCAGAACTACCAGATAGGAGACTGATCATGACAGTATCCAACAAAAGTTTTCCTCCTCTCCCTCCTCTCCCATTGCTTATTCAAGGGTAACAGAAAACGAGGCCTTTCTCCAGATGGCAGTTTTACCATCCAAGATGATCTGATTTTTCTTTTTTTCTTGGAGTTGGAGTCTCACTCTGTCACTCAGACTGGAGTGCAGTGGCCGCTCCCGGCCACAGCAGCCTCGACCTGCTGGGC